AATTCGAAAATTGCCCGAGAGATGGGAAAAAGTAGTAGCCAGCGATGGACAATACTTTAATTAATCTGTTCATTCATTTTGTTTTGAAATAAATGCATTTTTGAACACAAAAAACGGACCGAACTAATTTGTACACCTAATACAAAGATATCTAAAATCGTGTATGAAATAATCTCTCTTTAATTAGTAATTATAAATATTATTAATCCATTGTTTTTTTCTCAATATCATTTTACTCTATTGGTAATAATTGTATTTGTTTACATAAATGCATCTGAAACTGTCACTTCATATATACATATATATTATACATATATACATATTAAAATATAAAAATAAGGACGTTATTAAAACATGTTTCTCTTGTTTGATGCAGCACTTTGTTCTTGTATCACAATAATCTAAAATATTTATTTTAGCACAAATAGATATTTGTGGCAATTAAATAAAAATGTATTGACGTTTCATGTCGGCTGTCTTCTCTCTCTGAATCATTTATAATTAAATAACATCGTCATATGTCGAGAGTAATTAATTGGCAACAATTATCAGTTAGAATTGATTGATACCGTTTAGGACATTCCGCAAAGGCAATTCAATCGAATCTATTTGCGTCATTAACTTTTATTAGCAGAAAAGGATCACCACAGATTCTAAAGGTTTTCAAATAATTTAGGAAGCTATCAAGGCAATTTTGGTCAGGAGTTCCACTTATGCGACACCGCTAAATAGGCAATTGGGGTGCGGCGATAGACTCAAAGGGTTAATGTAACAAAGGCTTATATTACATGAGGTCAAAGTTCCCATGATACCTAACCCACAAAATTCCACACATTTGATATACAATTTCCTTAGCAATTCTCAATAATTTTTGCATTTAAACTATAATCTGCACTTTGTCAAAAGGATTGTAACCGATTAATTCTTTAATCTAATTACCATTAAAAAAATTGTAATTATGAGATATTTATACTCATTTAAGAATCAAAGAAAATCTCACATTTTTATCTTTCTAATTCAATATTCTGATCTGTTCTTTATCTACATTACGTTTCTTTAAAGCAAAACAAATAAATAAATAGATAGAACAATTCGACTTATGTTGAGATAACATGACTTGAACAATTAAAATATAATAATATAAAATAACAAGAATAGAGACTTGAATTTTATCTGACATCTTTTTGTAAATATTTTAGTCATGTAAAAATTATTCATTCAAATGGTCTCGGCATCAGTTGATTCCACTACTTATCGAGTTAAGAGCAAAAGATTTGATGAGTATTTGTTAAATATTAAACATGTGCGTATTTGCAAGTTCTGCAATATGCAAACGATGCTCGCGGGAAAAGCTCGTACACTTATGAAAATGCATCGTGCATTAGTCGATAAATTTACTTGAGCCAGGAAAATGAGTGCAACGTAGTCTATTACGCATAATGCTGTCTCCTAATTAATATCTGTGCAGAAATACACGAACAGATATATGAACTATTTGACTACATAACGAAGTAAATCTAGTTGTTCGACGCAACTGAAAAAATATGGTGCTCAATAAAACACTGTGTAAAATCTTAATTTAATATACAAATATAACAAGATATCATTTTAAATATATTTGCTAATAAGAAAACATAATTTCATCAAACAAATTGCAGGATTACTGAATAATTAATTATTGATATTAAAACCATAAAAGAGAATACTTGGTGGAAAAAAATTCTGAATGTTATAACAAACAGAATATATTGTATTAATCTGCAGTTTATGCAGGTGTTAAATTATATTAAGTAAACCGATGGTTTATTTATATTGTATGTGTGTAAACAATTTGAGTAATATAACTAAGTGAGGCACTTAATTATATTAACACGCGCACTACAGTATGAACAAATGCAATTCCTAGTAAACATGATATATGGGCGACATTACAAAATTAATTGCATACAGAAAGTAGAAATCCCGCTTTGCCGTTTGCTAATTAAATACGTGGCGTTTACTGTAGAAATTCTTTTCTGTTTGTCCATATCTCTTTAAATTAATTAATTAATTTGCTCGTCGGCGTTTATTTCAATTTTTGACAGAGAAACATGCAATTAATATTCCAACATTTCATGTGCAGCTTGAAAACAAAATATGTCCATAGATTCCAGCTGCAATGTTTGTGTATGTATAAATACATTTCAAAGAAACGTATATACGTAACTTTGCCTTGTAATTATCTTTTATTCGTTTACGTAATATAATTACGTAAAAATTCAATCAACATAATGTAGATTAATTTGTCTTAATGTAGACATATACAGTTTAATATAGAGAGTTCTTGATCTTAGAGATCTATTCGCTTAATTCATTGACGAATTCATCTAATTTCTTTCGAAGGATAATAACCGCACAGGTATTAACAGGATTAATATGAGCTTAGATATCTCTGGTTAGATAAGCGAAAGCGTTTTTTAAAGGTCAAGTTATCAGGACAACATGTTATGGATGGAAATTTCAAAGCCTGTAAGAGAGTAAATAAACTTAGCTTGTGCGTTCGATAAAACTTCGATCACTTGGTCGGGCATCAGGATTTCATCTTGTCAACGGAACGAAAAGTATACCATCGTATGTACATACGTCAGGATACATTCTTAATAATTATAAAAATATCAGACTTGTAATTAATAACTGTAAAATTGTAAGATAATTGTAAAAAATAATAATGGTAACAGGATCTTTATAAACATGAATGAAAAGAATGTGAAAACTAATTATTTCGAGCCAAGCAAATCAGACGTTTAAAACAGGACATAGATTTTTTAAGATTTTCTGACATGTGATTCAATTTCATACGAAAAAAAAACTTGTCATATGATTGATGGATATCTTCTATGCAAATGTTAAAAATGGATTATTAAAAGAAGAAAATATTAGAAAAAATATAATATTGAGAGAAGAATATTATAAAATATCCGATCTCGATATGATATTTATTTTCCATGTGACAAGTTGAGAGTATTTTTCTAAATTGATTTCTCACGATTTTGCATATTGCTCAGGGAATGGAAGTAACTCGTTACTTGTAACGAAGTTACAGTTACAAGTTACTTTTTTGGTAACTTTACTGGTAACTGCGTTACTTTCTTTTTTTGGTAACTGTAACGGTAACGAGTTACATTTTTTGGGTAACGGTAACGAAATTTACAGTTACTTTTGTCGTTACTTTGCACACGATTGAACACGGTTCGATTGGATACATGCTATTTACAGCGCTTATCAATAAGACTTGAAAGCCCTTAGACATTCGGCCGTATGATTCAGTAATTATTTTACACTTCTATCTTCTATGTAATACATAGGACATACAAATATTTCAGTTTGCTGCATATTTTACAGGTTTTAGAATTACAAAATTGTGTTTAAAAAAAATTAAAAAATAAATTAAATAATAGTAAAATGAGAATGGCTACGAACCCAAAAGCGAAACAGTTTAAAAGACGATGACAATAAGTGTGGAAACGTCGTTTGTTTTTATCTTGTTTTATCCATGTTGTTGTTCTAATATATATTTATACATTTAATTACATTGTCATCGTCGTTCTTATCGGAAATAAACTGTTTCATTTTTGGCTCGTAACCCTTCTCATTTTACTTTTATTTAATTTATTATTTGAGCCATTCTACATTGTTTTTTTTTTTTAATAAAACTATATATATATTTGTCAGTATTACATATAAAAAAAAATGCAAAAGTACATTTTTAAATTGATTTTAAAAAAGTAACGGAAAAGTAACGAAAAGTTATTTTTCAAGTAACGGTAACTGTAACGAGTTACTTTTAAAAAGCGATAACTGTAACTGTAACTAGTTACATTTTTTACTCGGTAACGAGTAACTGTAACTAGTTACTTTTAAAAAGTAACTTCCCATTCCCTGAATTATTGCTGTTGTATGCTTATATTCAGTCAATCGATCCATTAATTATAGAAGGCTCGTATTTATCATATTAACAATAAAATTACTAAAATAGATGTGTATATCCCACAAGAATAATCTCTCAATCAATAACTTGATTTATGGAATAAAGTTTATTAGCAAATATAATGCAGATATAAACATAAATATAAGCAAATATATGCAAATATAATTTGTTTTAACAAATTACCTATTTATTAATTTCAACAATGTTAAACAAAAGATAGCGGATTTATATATTTTAAACAAATTTGTACATTTATTCGTTTCGATAAAAAAATACTGTGAGCGCTAACAATAAGTGCAGATCTCGATAAATTTTAGAACCAACAATGCGAGTGCAATTGTGGAGAGAGGAACATTTTCGGATAATTGCCTAATAATTCTCAGTTAATCGATAAATCATCCCAAGATGCCTTTCCATGGGAGCAGCAAGCGCGGCCTTCGCATTCGTGAAAAGGACGAGACAATGGCCGGGCCTCGTGAATGACCGATCAAGGCCGTTTCCCATGGATAGGACAGGTCAATGGTCCCGGTACCACGATGCTCTTAAAAGAGCACATGGGACCCCTTCGTCTTCAGTTTCCCGGCAGTTCTCGTGCTGTGCGGATCGCCTCGTATTTAATGCACGTATACGCGATATCAGGAGACACGGCAGTGTCTCAGCGCTAAGACATTTAAACTTACACACGATACCTGCACTCTAAACGTTATATGCTTATTCGTGTGATTTATTGTAATTTCTATTATATTGTAATAATATTAACAAACATATGACAATTGCGGAGATCATTGTCACGCTTTTTCCACGTTGCTCTATAATTTATGAATTGAAAAAGTTTGTGGAGTTTTCTTTTTGACATATGTGATGTTAACTTATTAATATTTCAAACTATATTTGATATCTGATAATACTTTATATTATATTATAATCTTTTATCATACACTTGACATAAGCTTGACAAGAAGATCGATCGGCGATAGCTTATCACGCGTCGCAATATTGTTCCCACAATATACATTATGCAAAAATTACTTACCCGATGGATGATTAGATTGCAAATTGTAGTCATCGACTTGTAATGTGCTGTTCGGCCCAGTTCTGGTAAATCTAACCACATGATATTGGTTGTCGTTAACTTTCACGCCAACTTCGCCTATTGGATGATCGTTGGTGCCCATATTATAAACCGCGAAAACGTTACCTTCCACCTATGAAACGAATAAATTATTCATTTCTGTTACATTGAAATTTGATTTTTTATTTGTACCAATTATAATACATTAAATCGATGGAATAGAAATTTCCAAAATATTAAATAAATTAATAAATTAAAAATATTTGATATATAATATGTTAGTTCATATTATATGTCTAATAATTATGCATTAAAAAATACATTCAACGAATACTATTACTTATATATGTACATACTAAATCAGAGATTTCCAAAAGATAGGTCATGACTCAATGTTATTTAAATTACACTTCATCATTTTGTGTAGTTGTATAAAGTTGCCTACGTGCACGTCCTTTCACAATTTCGTACATATGTAAAGTTAAATTTTCAACGGTGGTAGAAATTAAAACGAAATTTCGAAATAAACTTTAATTATCAAACTTCTTGCGTCTAAAAATAACTTATGTTAACGTCAGACCTGTTATCAACAGAATAGGAAATCGGGACATTCTTATCATATATGTCATTATAAATATACTAATTTATTTCGTTATCTGAGAAATGCAACAGATTTATAAAATTGCATTCAATAAAAAAATAAAAAGTAGGAATATACATACATAAAATAAAATATATAAATAAAATAGTATAAATTAGTTAATTTATTCGTCTTTTGTTTTATCATATTTGTTAAAACCAGAATAGTTGCAAATGTTTATTGTTTTAAAAAGTCGCGGTCTGCACAAGTTTGAATTATATAATCTATATAATACATATACATATATTATATGTATACATGTATAGTACTTCATAATAAAAGTATGTGTAAATTTAATATTATATACTAACAATTTCAATTTCGAGATAATCGTTACTCGACGCAGATTCTATCCTAAGCAATACAGCGTCATTAATGCTGGTGACGAAACCCAAGGCCACAGTATCCCTTTTCATTTCCGGTCGACGATCAGGCGGAAAGGTATACGTGATAATTCCTCTTCCAGCTCCGAATTCATAAGCGATAGCTTCTGCGAAGTAAAACATATTGATATTAAAATGATGTTTTATCTGTTATATATTAAATGCTGAGATTTTTTGTTCACGCTTCGTTATAATTATTATCTTACTATACACCTGTAAATCAATTTATTTTTATTCTAAGGTATATTTTTAGAAATGTCCTATTTATCAAGTTTATCAACAACAGCGAGAGATTATTCGAAAAAATATTTACCTCTCAAAGAAAGAAATCAATTCTAGTCAAATTATGAGAGAGAGTGAGAGAGAGAGAGAGAGAAAGAGAGAGAGAGAGAGAGAGAGAGAGAGAGAGGGGGGGGGGAGAAAGAGAGAGAGAGAACTAATTTTACATTCCTTTAATACTTATTATACTGTAGAAAAATTTAATAATTAAATATATATATAATATTTGTTATGTGGCTTAGAGAATATAAAATGAAATCAAAACAAAGAGCATACAGCTCTAGTTATAATGAGCGAATGTCCTTTATTAAAAAAATATACGTTAAATTTGTCTATCATCGCATATTCACGTCTATTAAATTTTAGTAACTTTATGCATAGTGTTATTACAATATAATAACGTCGTATACGCACAGAGTTATACTGATATAAATAGCATATATAATAAAATATTAATTATTAATTAATTAGCAATTTTTTTATGTAAAGAGAACAGCGTGAACGGATAATCTCTGTTTCCTATCTCTCTTAAAACAAGTACGAATACAAGCATCTTTATGATCCGTATTCATAATCAGACCTTATATTTAAGGCGTCCTTAAATTTATCTTTAGATGCTCACAGTAGCTAATAAAATAATTCGTAGAGCATTTGAAGATAAACTTAAGGAAGCCTTAAATATAATGCCTGACTATGAATAGAGGTATATATATTTCTCTTTTTCCTTTATTCCTTTACCATCGTTACAAGTCGGCCCGGTAAAACTCGTCATGTCGCAGTCGCATGTGTAGCTATTCCACTGTTGCACGCATGTTCCATGATTGGCACAGAGATCATGAGTGCACTTCTTGCCCGGATGTATGTTGGTGTAAATGTCGCATCCGGATGTGACGAGGGAACTTGGCACAACGGCATCGGTAATGAGGTCGGTACTTTCCCCACTGAGATCCAACGACGCCAGACACCCCTCGAATCCGTGACGGCTGAGAATCTGCTTTGGTAATTGACCATATTGCGCCTTCTCCACTCCACCTGAAATGAAGAAACGAGACGTCAAATCTTTTTTACGTAACTTTTTATTTTTTAAAAAAGATATCCTCTCCTTTTTTATTAATTCAGCTGTTCAAATTTACTCTAAATGATCTTATATCGTTTCGGTTTATATATGTATATGATTAAAAAACCCTCCGAAATATTAAAAATTTACAGAGAAAGGATCTTACGTTAACAAATAAAGTCATCAAAAATGTCAGAAGAAAAAATTTTTTAATAAAATATTAATAAGAAAATTAATTACTTTTGAGTTGAAAATAAATCCAAATAGATCAGCAAGATTAAATATATCTATGCTGGTTGTGATTAACGTTTTTTTTTTATATAGTATCATTATTAATTATTAAATCACAACATATAAAACAGATATTTAAAATGTTTACATATCTGATTGCATAAGTCGCGACACATAAAGCTTGTCGCAAGATGAAATTGCGAAAACGTAGACGGGATGTCACGCTTGACATAAAATATCGAAACCGAAATTCAGTAGTTGAATCAAAATCATCTATCTCACAAATTCTCGCAGCCTTGCGCGATATCCGCAGGCCTCTCGACAATCGTGGATATCGCGGGTGTTCGACGAACCGAGACGACCACACGTCCGGTCGATCTCGCCGCCATAAATCCTGCGGGATCGCCGCCAGTCGAAAATTATTTCGACAGTCACACATTATACCCCGTATGACCGCGTGTGCAGTAACTTCGAAATGCAACCGCTTGGCCAATCAGCTCGTATGCAGTGTGAAAATCTCTCACTCAAAATGCTATGTACTAAATATACGTGCTATATGTACTAAAGAGGAACTTTACGGACAAAATGAAATATGTAATACCGCAGTATCCTTTTCCTTTCTATTGTGAGATATATTCTCTCTAATACGTAAAAATAGATACAATAAATCTCAATAATAAACTTTTAATTAAACAGTATAATAAGATAAAGAATCAGAGATGAGCAAGAAATAAAAGTTTGAATAAAAACATTTGATTGTAAGCTTAACATGTCAATTCGACAGTGAGAAATTTCAACTGAACAAAATCTTCGTCATCGTGATTACGTAGACTTAAATTTTTAACTGACTATATCGAATTATGTAAAAGTTACTAGAGATATCTTGATGCAATATGATTTTGATAATTAAATTCAATCAGAGTAAAATTTTGATCGTAATTTTTGCGTCGAACTGATCTCGCGAATGCGTGATCGCGGTTTGGCAATCACTATTGAAGAATAATTGATGACTGATTTGCCAATTTATGCCAACCCGACGGTGAGATCAATAGATTTATTAATGAATTAAGCAACGAGAACGGTATGATATGGATCTAATTAATGGTGATTCATAGCGCGCTACGCTGATACCGTAACTGAATTTCGGATCATTAGTCCAGACATATAGAGACCTATCCTATCCACGCTAAAAATTAGAAATGCAAAAATATCTAAACGCTTTTTTGTCAGTCGGTATTACCATTATTTATGCAAAATTATAATTTATTGACATTTTGAAAAAATTAAACTGTATTATCTATTGTCAAGAAATCGTAAGCTTATCGTAGTCTGACATTGTTTCTCATAAATACCGCGGGTAACAAAACAAGACTTTTAAATTATAATTTAGTCGCAACCTGCGACTTGTAAATTTTTTGCTCGGATTTGTAACCAAAAATATAAAGTCATATTTTCTGTTTTACGCAAATGAAAAAGATATTATGTGAGCCACAAAATGTTATATATTTTTGAAAATGGCTCTTTGAAAATCCTTAAAAAAATTGCGCATCATTTTTCTAGATAATAAAATAGTTCCATATAGATATCTATTACAAAGATAAAATCGAATAATTCTTCATATAAATTATACTTATGTTATTATTTAAAAAGTTATACGCTTATACAACGCGGTAATTGCGTGACATTTCTCTCTTCTTCTCTGTAGCCTTCAAATTAATTGTGCAATTACATTAGGAGAGCAAAAAAATTTCAATGATAAATAATTCCTGTATTGCGTCATATAGAACGACAATAAAAATCTAAACAATTGAAATGTCACATTAACGTTACATAGAGAGAAATTGCATTATAATCAAATTACTCAAAATTATATTTCTCTAAATAATTAATAAAATGATCAATTAGCTTTTTTTATCAATTCTCGAAAATTTATGATGAAATGACAATTATATAGTCAAAGCTAGTATTAAAGATGACTCAGTATACTTTAAAAATCTACGCCGATAATCGACATATAAGTTTTTAAAATAAATAGAAGTTCCTGGTATGATTGGACGGCAATACATGTCATAATGGAAGAGAAGGAGGTATGGAAAAATTATAAAAATAAAAAAATAAAATTTTCAGCATTTCCTTACAAAAGTTTAATACTAGAAAGTAATGATTAATTACTTATTTTGTGAATATTAAAATCATTGTTGTTTAGTTTAACTTTTAATACTCGAATAAGTAATTTTTAGTAATAAATTGGATTTCCGTAACGCGATTTATACGTAAGTATATTTTTTGAACTAAAAAGGGTTCCAATAATTTACATCTTCACGATATAAGTATGTATGTCAAGGCAAACATTATCTATCGAAAGCATGCCCATTGTAAATAATTGTTCAGAATAAGGTTACCTTATCAAACATGGAACGACTGCATAAAATGGTATGAATGTATTCGTAATATTTTGGAACTCGTAATGCAGTTGTATATATCTAAGTAATATTAAAACAATATTTTACAAATATTTATTATTTTCCGTTTCCCACCGATAATTTCGATTATAGTTTTTATTAATATCTTAATATATATCTTTTAGGCCGGTATTCATAGTCAGTTCTTATTTGAAGACTGTCTTAAGTAATGTCTTAAGATGCTAAAACGGCCCTCTGATTGGTTCGTAACCTTCAAGACTGAACTTAAGACGGTCTTGAATATAAGAACTGACTATGAATACCGGCCTTAATGTAGTATATTTTTTCCCTACAGATGATTAATTCTAAGTAAAGTTGAAGTTGTCCAAGTTTGTCGAAAACAAAATCTTTTGATAAAAGCTCCATTCTATATTTTTCACTCTTTTCATATCTACTTTTTTATGTATTTTTTATATAATTACAGCCTTTTTAATTAAAAGGCTAACCTGTATAAAAGAGACTTTCTCTAAAAGAATATATAAGTAAATTTAAAAAAAATTATTATATTAATCAAAGAGTTAATTCGATTCAAACACGATTTTTATAATTTTACGAGAGTAAGACTAACGCAGTCATGGCTCTTATCAGCCAGCTATATCATTATCACGTATGACATATTTGGCGATGAGTAAATCGTATTAATCGTAATAACCAGTAAAAGTCACTCACGAATTTCGTCTTACATTGCGGCTGTGCTGCGGTAAAATGCCGGATGTACGGTAGTGATGGGAAAATTTGAAAAAATCGATTTTAAAAATCGATTCTCTTTTCTTTTAAGAATAGTTTTCAGAATCGATTTATTGACTTGGAAAAGAATCGATTCTAAAAAAATCGTATAAGAATTTTTTACTCTTTTTTACATATTAACCCTTTAAGGACGGGACGGACACTTTTTGAACGCCAACTTCAGCGCGATATTGGATAATGTTACGGCCAAGAAAAAAAATCTGCACCCAATGTTTCTTACGTAAAAAAGGCTGCTCTTTCAGATTCTGCAAACAGAATTGGTCCAAAACTCTTTCCAAAAAAGATACAGCTGTTTTTTTTCCAAAAAATCGCGAAATTTTTAAATATTTTTTTCATAAATCGTCAATTTACACCCGGAAACTGCAACGCAGAGGACTCGGAAATGCAAAATATCGCGTTCAAAATGTTTCAGCTTCAAAATGGTACCTGCGATTTTTCAAAATTTCAAAATGGCGATTTAAAAATGGCGCCAAAAGTGCAAAATTTGTATATTATTTCATTTTTAGCCAATCGATTGAAGTTTCGAAATCGGCAATTGCTCAATAACTGCAAATTTATGTTTTTAGAGTCGCTGATTACAAATATGAGGTCAGATTTTCAAAATTCAAAATGGCGGATCCAATATGGCGGATGACATTTCTAAAATATTAACGGATTTTCTTAAAAATGGTCACTAAAGGGTTTTTGGGGTCGCTGGTTGCAGATATGAACGTTTTTTGTCGTCGAAAAAATGGACGTTGCCCGACTCTTACCACGAGCAGGTAAACGTATCTAAAGAATCATTTTTAAAATTTTTTTTAATTTTTTAACTTTTTTATTTTTTTTTGTTTTTTTTTGTTTTTATAACTTTTTTTGTATTTTTTTTTATTTTGTGTTTTTTTGTTTTTATAATTCTTTTTATATAAAAAAATTGTACACAATAAAAAAATACAACAAATTATACATAATAAAAAAAGAAGATAACTTTTAACGATACGTTTACCTCCTGGTGTTAAGAGTCGGGCAACGTCCATTTTTTTGACGACAAAAAACGTTCATATCTGCAACCAGCGACCCCAAAAACCCTTTAGTGACCATTTTTAAGAAAATCCGTTAATATTTTAGAAATGTCATCCGCCATATTGGATCCGCCATTTTGAATTTTGAAAATCTGACCTCATATTTGTAATCAGCGACTCTAAAAACATAAATTTGCAGTTATTGAGCAATTGCCGATTTCGAAACTTCAATCGATTGGCTAAAAATGAAATAATATACAAATTTTGCACTTTTGGCGCCATTTTTAAATCGCCATTTTGAAATTTTGAAAAATCGCAGG